TTGCGTGAACGCCGAGTGAACTCGGCCAGCCGGGGAGGGCCCCAGCTGTGTGCGGAGAAGAAGGTGGCGGTGCCGAGTGTACTCGGCCGACCAGGGAGTACCCTGGTGCTCGGAGAGGTAGTATCGGGGAGAACCCCGGTACTCAGCGGTGAAATCTCGGAACGGCAGAGTCGGGTCGAGCGAACTCGACGCGCTGGGGAGACCCCAGCAACTCTCGGCTTGCCGTGCGAGCTACGGAGACGGCTTTCGGCCAGGCCAAGCGAACTTGGCGCGTTGGGGAGAACCCCAACAAATCTCAGGCTTGCTGCCGGTTTCGGAAGATCGTTTCCTCGAGGCGAGCTCTCGGAAACGAGTTAGGAACAGGAGTAAACGGAGAGTGATTTCCTGTGGAGAGCGATGCCTTTTTATATCCGAGATCGACCTTGGTATTTTCGGTCGGATCGGTCGGATTGGTCGATCTCGGGGTTAGCATCCCTCTTCACATCATCACGATTGTCGATTTCATACAGTATATGACTGTCTTTTGACTGATACGTTTTTAATAATTGTACCTGTGGTTTTAACATTTCTGTAACGTTTCTGACTTTTTTGTACTTACACATCTACCATGTATAGCTTTGTATTGGCTTTAATGTGGTGAGTAAAGATATTTTATTACTTAAAATTATTAGAATTTGATTCCAATCATATTCATGTGCCGCTTTATCAGGGACAAGACGGAAAGATTGCTCCCTCACACGACTTGGCAACCGTCGTGAGCGATACACTTTTTTTCAAGCCACATTAGAGTTCGGTATCTACTGACCAATATTATTTATCACTGAAAATGGCTCAATACGAGAGCCGAAACGTTTGATTTGAATAAAAAAGATTTCCTAATTAAGAAGATTTATAAAGTTCATTGCGCATTGTTTACCGCACGTTTTCTCATTGTCCCTTGTTCGTTAATTTTTTAAATACTGAGAAACTGAATATATATAATAAATGTATTCATAACCAGTGCAGCAATTATGTGTCGTCTCCTAATCTCTACTGCAACTGTGCCATTATACGTTTATATTGCTCTATTATTTGATGTACTGACTATTATAATTCAATAGTTTAGTTTCCGAAGTCTTCAATTTGATTCCACTTTGATATGGATCAAATTTAAGATGCTGTTTCCATCGGAAGTAAAGATTTGTGGATCGAAGCGGGATTGAAATGAGCACAATTTGTCGCGTTTCCATCGACTCAAATCTGATTCTACATCGTATTAGGAGCGAATTAAGACATCAGTGGAAACTAGATAAATAGATATCGGAGCAAAGTCAATTTTTACGCTGCTTTGCATTGAGATGGAGGGGATAAAATGCTAGCTTTGCTTCGCTTCATAAAAAGGAAGGAGGCGATAAGCGATAGCGTTTCAACGCTACTTTTCATTGAGGTGGAGTGGGGGTAAAAGCTAGCTTCGCTGCATGGAATTATAGTTTTATGTACATACAAGGGGTGGCATCCGTTTGACCACGTCCCGATTGATCACTAACCATTCACAGCGCTTGAATAGTGGAAAAATTTTAGGCACCGGCTCCTGTTAATGGTGTGATCAATCGAGACGTGATCAAACGGGACGCTCCCACATACAAGTAATGTCTGCGCGAGGTAGATGCGCAGTACAGGAACTTCAAGTATAAGAAAAAGATGGCAAGACAGTCATATGACCAGCCTCTCTGTGATTGGTTCTTAAGTAAGAGCTAATAAAGAGGTGTTGGGTGCTTTCACATACACAGGCGATACTATGTAACACAGGCTGCGTTCCAATATTCACTACCAGTACTGAAATATAATTCAGGTAACGTATATTATAGATATTCAGTACTGAATCGGAACGCAGCTACAGTATAGAACCCGGTGCTTTCTAACTGTAGGTTTGTTCTTTTCTTCTGCACTGACTGCATTAGTTTAAGAAGTGTATATTGAAACGTTCTTTTAGAAACGGAAATGATATCAGATGCCACTGTTTCTTTTCGAACAGTGCAGCGATACTTAATACAATAGTTCACTGCACTGCTTAACCCAGGGGTCTGTTCTTTTAACTGAACTGGCTGCACTAATTCAGAGTTTTCTTCTTCCAGCTTAGCTTTCTTCTTCCAGTGTAAGAACAGGGCATCGATCACATAGGTTTTCCCCTAGAACGAATCAGTGATGAGTCTCATGTGGATTTTATCATTTTGTGATCACGTAATTTTAATTCTAGTGAAAGCGTGAGATATTTAGCATGAAACTTTTTACCATTAGCTGATATAGTTAAACGGTGACAAAATTATGTTTTCTTAACTTACACAGCATATTAATTGGTAAATAACCACAGTTTTTGGGTTTTAAATCTGGTAATAGAAGATTTTAATTTC